AACACAACATCAAATAAGAAACGAGTTACTTTTAATTTATATAACATTATATCTCTAGAAGGGGGAGTATTGTAGGGTTTGTATTTGTGTTATTACCTTTTATTGTACTGTGTTCATTTCAACTTTGTAATTTTGGAAATTTTAGATTNTAAAATAAATTTTGTTAACTTGTAATAATTAAATTTATTTAAGAATAAATACCTTTTTAAAACCCTACAGTATAATATGGCGACTATGTATTAAAACACCCCCGTGGGTCCGCCGCTGACTGAGACGTACTTTAACCCACAAAAGGAAATGAATAAGGATTGAGCCAAGAGCTTTTGTGAGAAAATCCAATTTTTGGCAGCTAATGCCAGTTACGCGGTTTTGCANCATGTATGTACTATAAATTACATCGTATAAAGATGTATGGAAAAAAAAGTTCAATTTATTCCAAGCGATTATGATCAATCACTGTGTGAGTATATGTATCCGCAGTGTAAAAGTTGTTCTTTTCGACACCCTGTGAAAACAGTTAAATCGGGTTTTCTNGCGCGGTTTTGTCTTTAAACGACGATATGTATGTACTATAAATTACATCGTATAAAGATGTATGGACAGAAAAAAGTTCAATTTATTCCAAGCGATTATGATCAATCACTATGTGAGTATATGTATCCGCAGTGTAAAAGTTGTTCTTTTCGACACCCTGTGAAAACAGTTAAATCGGGTTTTCTATAACCTCTTTATTTAAAATCTGATGTCTACAAATATACATCGTTGTAACGGTATTAAGAAACCCCGAAGTTGTATATACAAAGCTATTTTCGGGGTGAATTATGTAGGATTTTTAATATCTTACAACGGTAAGTCATTTATAGAAATCGGCCATCAAATAAAGACGTTATAGAAACACAATGATTTAGCTGTTTTACAGGGTACCGCTATGGAAATACCCTCGTAGTACGTGTTCAAAGTCGCTTGAAACAAATGAAACTTTTTTGTGACACGGTCTAATGTACATACAAACATATGTAAACCCAAACGTTTTTATTAATCTGTAAAACCCGATTTTTTGGAGATTATAGTACGTGCAAATATATTTATTCACAAATAAATATACAAATAAACACATCAAATCGCTGACATAGCGCAAAGCGCACACACAAAAAAGTAATTACGTTCGAACAATGAATAAAAAACCTGAAGAAAGCAAAGTCTTAAGAAATCTGCAAAACAAAAATAATTTCAATATAAACTCATACATATCCAAAAATACGAATTCTGTATTCACGCTGCAGCGCTGGGTGTTGCTTTGTCAGCTGAAATCTGCACTTGAACTTCATTTCTTCACTCGCACTATACTCATTCTAAATAAATAAAACTAAACAGGACTGACCGCTCATTACTTGAGCCACTCTCAGATTGTGTACTATTTGTATTTATGTGCTTTTGAACGTTAGTTCTTTTATGTGTCATGTTCGAAAATCTTGCGAATCGTTCGCCCCATTGGCGCACTTCATTTCGACTCAAACGAATTGATGCCGCAATCTAATCCCATCAATACGAATCGCATATAAAAACTCAACGTTCGCGGTTTTGACAGCTTAGTCGTTGTTCTGTCGTTTGGTCTTCACATTTGTGTGTGCTGTGATAATTAACAAGTTCGTTACTCAAGTCTTTCGTTTGCCAAAAGTTGTACGTAATATTTGACTGAAATAATAAAAATTAATTATCATCATTGTCAATGTATAGCTAATGAACATTTTCGTTTATTTTTGTAGATTTATAATAATTTAAGTGGGGGAAAAAACCGAAAATATGAAATTCTTTGTTGAATGTGTAATTGTTGTTGCAGCGGCTGTGTTTGCCACCGCATCAGCTGAAGCCGGTGAGTAATTTCTTCAGCATCATTAACAGTTAGTGGAAAATCTTTATTCAGAATATATTTGCATAGTGCGTGCATATTGTGTGTGTATGTATTTCTTAGCGTGTTTGAATACAAAAAAAAAAAAAAATCGTTAATCAATTGTTGGAGTAAATAAAGCTCAACGCCAAGCTATGAAACATCTGCAAAATGAAAATAAACTGTTTATTAATATTTCAGTTGAAGCGTGTTTTAAGCATACATCAGATTTATTACATCATCATCAGTTTTGGGATTCACCAGAGCTGAACGTGCTTTTTAAGCCTTTAGCTTACTGAAGTTTTCACAAAGGCGTTACCATAATTAAAATTTATTAGTAATTATTGATCAGTCATTGTTCTGCAGATTGTTTGGCTTTGGTTTTTTCCATTGACAGGTTGAAATTTCATATTTAACAAATATATATGTACGTCCATATGTGTGTATTAATAAAATTTAGAAATTGGGAATATACAGCCTGGGTCAATTTATAAGCCCACCACATATTGACAAGCTTTCACATATTTTTTTTTTTAATTTTAGTTATAGTTTTATTAAAATATTTTTTTATTTTTGAACAAAAACCATATAAATACAAATTTCGAACTTTATGCAATATTAAAGAAATCAACAAACTTTCGTAATTATTTGAAGGTTTTTAATTGGATTTCTTAGGAAGATTTTTAGTATATGCAGTTTTGTAGTCTACTAATTTTAGTACAATAAAGTGCAAGTTTGGAGCAGCTGGGACTTACCGTTGATTTGTGTATTGCACAAAGTTTGAAATTTGCTAAAGAATAAACTGCATATGTATATCTTAATAAAAAATAACTAAAATTAAATAACAAACAAGTGTGCAATTTGATAAAACTTGAAAATAATTAGTGCGCTTATAATTTGAGACGGGCTTTATATAAATAAATACGTTTATACATACATACATCTGTGGGGATAAAAAAATTGTAATTAATAATATTTAAATATAGGTAAAATATAGAAGTTTTGCAGAAATTTTATTACTAAAAATTAAATGAAGTTCATATTTAAAAATATACGAATGTATAGACGAGCGTAGTATACATTATTAGGTACCCAGTCGGAAAAATTGGGAAAATGAGATGCCTTTTAGGAGCTCTACAAGTTCCCTTAGACGGTTAATATTTATGTATGAAATTATGCGTTTTTTCGCAAAGAAGGCAAAAAAGCGGAATCTATACCAAAAGTAGGTATTTTGGAAATGCTAATTTTTCTAGAAAAACCAAAAAAAGAGAAACCATTTTAATAAATTGAAAAATTTTCAATTTGTTGATTTTCCGTTTTCGCAAGCAGCTTCTAAAAATTTCTCTGCCCTTTAAACACACACTTTATTCAAAAGAAAATGTGCTAAACTCTTCTTATCTCTTAGGCCGCATACCACCAGATTCATTTAAGAGAAAATTATTTTAATTTTGGAATTTTGGTTTCACCAATCAAGTTTAATTTGTTTTTAATTTTGATTTAAGTTACCTATGCTCTTCACTTAAATAAAAATTAAATCAGCGTAACTATACTTAGAGATGTTACACGTTTAATCAGCTGATCAATATAATAATAATAATAATAATAGATTGGCGCTTACACATATGTTAGTGTTTGGCCGAGCTTCTCCTCCGATTTGTGGCGTGCGCCTTGATGTTGTCACACAGAGCGGAGGGACCTACAGTTTTACGCCGACTCCGAACGGCGATTGTATTTTTATGAGAAGCTGTTTTTCATGGCAGAAATACACTCGGAGGTTTGCCATTGCCTGCCGAGGGACGACCGCTGTTNGCGGAGTGGAAGCGCGCACTGCTTACCACTACACCACAGCGGCCGACCAATATAAACACACCATAATATTGTGTATCAGCTGTTTACTGTATACCAGCTCTGCTTTTTCTAACACTTTTAGCACGGTTAGGAGCTTATTGAAACTGAAAAAATTTAATGGAGAATTAAATAAAACATTGGATTAAAATTTATCTCCACTTAAATGAGTTTGGTGAAACGCAGCCTTAGCAGAAAAAAGTATGAGCTAAGCTACAAAAAAGCTCAGTCCTGCTACACGTATGGTCGGTTTTTCATTTCATAAAATTTAAAATCTCCTGTACCGCTAAAAAAGGTTCTAACTTCAAAAAATAAAATTAATTTGCTACTTTTAGAATAGGTGGCAACCTTAATAAAGAATATTTTCAAACTAAAGTTTTCCTTAAAAGTCAGTCTTTTGACACTCATATTTTAATATTTCGTTTAACTTGTGTATAAATTCGACTTTTAAAACAGGTGGCAGCCCTCATTAAAATTAGTTTAAAACTAAAATCTGTTTACATCTCATTCGTCTGACACTGATACATATTTAAGTTAACTGATGAATTTAATTGAGCTTCATTTTTTAAACGGCTGACAACTCTCCTAAATACCGATCAGTTATACATATTTTTTTAAAGCCATTTAGCTTGATGCCAATACTTTTAGTAATCCACTTAACTTTGCAAATGGTGGCAAATAACTTTTCAAGAGGTGACAATCCTCTTGAAAAACCTAAAAATTCTAAAGCTTCAAACTAAGGATTTCTTAACAATCTTTCGTTTAACACCCATATCTTAGTATATCATAGAACTTGTGTATAAGTTAACTAAACTGACTTTTAAAAGAGGGTGCAATCCTGTTGAAAATATTTTCACTACTACCTTCTTAAACCTCTTTCGTCTGGTACTCATATGATGATACATACTGCAATTACCTAATTCCCTTTATTCCAATTGAATTAAATTTTTAAACAGGTGGCAACCCTCCTATACTTAATATAATACAAAATAGCTTGAAAAGGTGGATTAGTAAAGTTTTTCGGTTCGGTGCTACTTGTTTGGTTACACTGACACTGTGAATGATCAGATGCTTTCAGCTGTTTTGTGTCATGAGCCTCAAGCCATAAGACAGTACCAATTTATTAAAACGACAGCGCAATCAATGAATTTATTTCTTCGGCCGGACTTAAATTTGTGATCTTCGTCAAGATTCCCTGAGAAGCTTTCTGTGAGATTTTAACTTCATGATATCTGATAACGACCCATTGTCGTCCGGATATATGTACATTAGGGTGGTTATCAAATGTAGGAAGCAAATTTTTACATCTGATTTCCTAAGCCTCAACCCCTACATCAATGCTACTATAGTCGAAATAATCACATATAAATTTTGGCCCCCATTGGAGTCGGTTAAGACGTGTCATACAGGGGTCAAAGTTTAGATTACCCTATCAAGACGTCTTAACCGACTCCAATCGGGACCAAAATTTTTATGCGATGTCTTCGACTATGGTAGTATTGATTTTGGGTAATAGATGAGAAAAAAAATATTTGAATTTGTCTAGTTTCTTTACAGGAATCTGAACTTTGCCCCCCTGTGCGGCACCCCATAACGGCATCCAATCGGATCCAAAATTTATAAGTGGTATTACCGATTGAGGAAGTGAGACTGAAAAAAAAAAATATCTTTCAATAGATTTAAAGGACCACCCTAATGTACATATGTGTAGTTCTGCACATAAAATACACTTCGTAATTTTTTTTTGGAATATCGTAACTTTTTCGGGTGATTTTGGAAATCAAAAATCTATAGTTCTCCAAGTTTCTAAGTGAAGTTGGTTTTTTCGGTAACTATATACACGCGCTGCTCATTTGCCAGATATAAAATGTTCAAGTCAAGCCAAGTCTAAGTCTTGCATAACTGAGCTTTAAGTTTCTAATAATTCTGAAAAAAATTGAGAGTTTTTATGAAATTTTTTGAAATTTGTTAAATTTTCCTGATTTGGGCACATTGACTTATATGGCTTATGTTATAGAATTTACTATATTTTTTTTTTTTTAAATTGACGAAGAAACGTATCACGGAAAACATTGTGAAAATTGTAAAAAATGAAATGCGAAGTCAGAGATTCGTTTTCTGCGATTTGTGCCTGGTATAAAAGGTTAAGTCGCACCAGAACCTAGCTAGGGCCTATTTACTTATTTTTCAGAGTTGATTGCTCACTGCCAATGACACTCGTATAAGGGAGCTGCAGGAATGCAACCTGTGAAGTACATATATGTATTGTATAAAGAACGTGTAAAAAACTAAAGAGGCAGTCCAAGCTATTTTTACTCTTCTAAGACACAGAGTATTAGTTTATAATTTATTTTACTAATGCTATCGGTTTGGCTCTGTGTTGGCAATCTCAGATGAAATACATATCAAGATCTGGAACAAGCCAAAAAATTGTTAACAGATGCTTTGAATTAAAAAAAAAAAAATACTTAAATAAATTGCTATGCTTCCATTGCATAGGAGGAAAAAAAATACCGACCCTAGCGGAAAGTATGCAAACAGATTTTATAGTAAATAAATAGTTAGCTTTAATCGTCGGCATAGAACTTAGAAGCATAACTAATAATTACACCTAGCCATAAATCTCTGAACCTGTCTACACCATTGCTATTATTATTAATAATAGAAATTATACTATTTATAAGTAAGATGTGCTGCGACGTAAATATGTACAATAAATATTGATGCTAGACCAGCTGCTCGCTGGCGTAGAACTTATCGGCAGTGCCCGGGCTGATTGATTAAATTTACCTAATCAGTTACATTAGCAAAGGGAAAACCTGATTTTCCGATTCCAAGTAAAAAGATACTTTTAAAATACTTGAAAGAGTAAATGCTTTCCTAGAGCAACATTTCCAAAGAATTGAACGCTTTCAGATTAAGCTCGTGCAAAAGTTCATTGCTTAGCTATTAAAATATATAAAAAGTACAAAAAAAAAAACACTACTTGAAGCGTAAGTACACACAAGCGTACAAACTGGTATTCTATGACTACTCAAATTGAGAATCTTAACTTGCACTCGCGAACGAAGCACAAGGTAGTAAAAAAGAAAAAATTCACAAAAATATGTAGATATGTATACGCAGATTTTAAATACCTGATGTTTTTTCGTGTAATTCAAGCAGGAAAAAAAACGAAAGAAGAAAATTACGAGAGCTTAGAAAGTTGGCTGCGAAAGAGGTTTTGGCGATGAGCTACTTTCGCCACTTAAACGTCCATAAGTACCCAGTTCATTAGATATAAAATTAGGAGAGTATGTATTTTTTTTTGTAACTCAAATATATAGAGCTTCTCTGGTAAAATAGAATTTGCTGGTTATTGCTGGTTTGTGAATTAATGAAACGATGTTTACATATGTGTGTTTGTATAGTGGATTTTCGCTCACGCGTAGAACAATAAGTGGAAAATCGTCACAACCCAAAATAATCTTCAGTATTTTGCGATAACTCATTCAAAATATAATTTCGCTCGTATTTTTCGGCCGATCAGCTTCGTTAATTTTTTAAAGTCGTTCATTACTTCTGATATTGTTTTTTTTTTCTAATAAGCTTGCACTTCGAGTTATAGAGCTTTCACTGTATTCTCATATTTTGCTGAATAAATTAACAAAAACAAAGAAACAGTAAAGAAACAAAATCAAATCACAAAAATATTGTAATAAAGCCAAAGCAGCTTAGCAAGAAAAAAATACGTAACAAAGAAATCAGCTAACACTTCTATATACATACATACATACATGCATTCAAATAAAAAAAAAACCTAAACGAACATGCGCGTGTAAATTTGAATCTATTCAGACTTTATATAACCTGCGAAAGCCGTTCAGCCAGTGGAGGCTACATAAACAATAAACAAACAAAAAATATCTAAATATATAAATATATATTAAAATATCGAATGTCATTGGGAGTCATTAAAATCTGTCACTCATAACAGATTATGGCATAATTGTAATTTTCATAAAGTTTTTGCTTGCATTTGGAATCAAATTTTAAAATGTTTCTTTTTAACCGACTTCAAAAAGAGGAGTAAGGTTATCAATTCAACGGAGTCTTTTTCGATTCACAATATATCTTATAATAAAATAACGGTTAACAAAAATTTTAGGGCATTTGTAACTGCACCAAAATGTGCCAAATGCACAGAAAATATATAAATAACTCTTATTATGACCTTTGAAATGCCTATAGCCATTTTAACTTGTATGTTACATTGAGCAACTTTACGATTTTAAGCAAGGGGAATTCATATAAGGTGGTAGCGGTAGTACAAAAACTAAAACTGACATGTATTTTGTTTTTGCTTTCGGTAAACAAACGTCATCAAGGAAGAAAATTCCAACGCTCTCTGATCCTTTTTGGATAACTTTTTTCGAAAAGGATCATAGAGAAATTAACGGCGCTGCTAAATTTTTATATAAATAAGTTGTGTAGTCAGTGGTGTTTTTTGCTTAAAAATTACTTGTTTTCTTATATTTACAGATGCTGGTTATTTCATTCCGAAAGCTTTCTACACACTCGATGCTGAGGGTCATAAGACACAATCACATCCCGTTAGCCCACACGTAAGTATAGCGAATTGAGTGCATCTATTCGGGGTAGTCAGTTATCATATATTTTGGGTTTTGTGTTTAATGAATTGTGAGTTCGCAAGTGAATTGATTATTTCAGGAATCCGAAAGCGCGGAAATATACAAAAAGGATAAACAAATGAGTGTATGGCTGACTTCCAAAACGCATAAAACAATGCGCTCAAAGTTTTTCATGTATTTTTATATGGGAAAAATAAAGTTGTTCGTTGAAATGGTATAGAGTTTTTTAAAAGAAAGATTTTTCGATCGGAAAACTCTGGTTCTCTTCAGGAGACTTTCGGTAATAATAAAGAATTGTTTATTTAACCATTTATATAGTTTATAATTATAGTTGCGATGAACAAATGGTTTTATAAACTATCGGGTATTATTATTGGGATCTCCTGCAGGTAAACAGAGAGTTCTGGTGGAAAAATATTGATTCTGAACTATTCTATACCATTTCTACGAAAAGTTGTTTTTTTCCCCATATAAAATACAAAGCAAATTTTGGGCGCTTTGAGCGACCTCTAAATATTTTTTGATTTCAAAATAAAAAAGCGGTATATTTTTTTCGGTATAGAAAAATTCTAAGGGGGTGAGAGCATAAAAATTCCGACTTTACTTTTTCTCATGCATTTTTGAACCACCTCAATGAACATATTAGTATAAAAGCGTGAATGTATTGCTATTGTCTTCGCAAAATTTTCTTGTATAAACCCAAAGTAAGAATGTCAGTGGCAAAAATATGTCGATGTATTTCTTAGATTCGATGGGTTGAAATGTAAATTGATATTTTTCAACACATCGGATTTGCATAAAATTTTTATATATTATTTCACAACAATTTGATGAGTTAAAACTAGAGCTCTTTTTAAAAATCGACCATACAGCTATTCAATTAGTCGATTAGTCGATTAGCAAATTTTTTACGGTTGCTAGTCAAATAGCAGTCTTTATTACCAACAAATGAGGTAATTCGCTCTCAAAATTTTATATGGCGAATTACGTAATTCGAAGGGTAATTGGAGTGCGAATTACGAATGAGAGAGCGAACTACGCAATTGGAGTGACGTGGGAAAGCCGTATTAGCTATTCGACTAATCGATTAGTCGACTAACAAGACTAAAAAATTTATACTTCGATGCGTAGACTATTTTCATACCAAAACATCGATATTTTGGAATAATTATTTGCGTGTTTACCGCAGAAACTCGTTAAGTGAATAATTCAAAATTAAATTCAAATTAATTATTATTTTTTAACAAAAGTACTCGATGTTATAGTTATATTCAATAAAGACATCTTCAAACCCAAAAAAAAAAATGTTTTTATAATAGAGCGTTTTTTTTTAGTTTTCTCTAAACCGCGTAATTGCGGTGTTTCTGAAAGAGTCTATTCAATTGCAGAAGGATGGATCAATTGCAGTTGTCAGTCTGTTATCTATTTCATATCTCGGCTTTATAAACCTAGTAGTGCTGCTCAGAAATAGGTAGAATCAGCGAAGTAGGCTTCTAATAAATTAGTGATCACACGATTTCTTCATTTGTACACATTCGTTAATTTTAACAGTTACCGAGTAGGGTGTTTTATTGAGCCGAACTCATTTCGATACCAATTTCTAGAAAACACCACTGCCAAAATGTACAAATCTCGGGACAAAGAAACGCATAGTCTACCATCATATTCGCAATGCCAATGCCTAATATGAGTCATATTCCAGACAGATCACGCGATTGTACATTTGTACAGATTTGTACATTTTCACATTTTTTAGAGTTTACACACTCTACTGCTAGCTGAAACCCAACGTATTGGAAAAACCACTTTGAAATTGCACATAATGCATTCAGACAACAAAGCTCATGCTGACTCAGGTATTCTAATTCGAAACAAAATCAACTATTACAACACAATTCCGTGGCGTACGGACTCCGTTCAAGCATCGAATATTGCAGTTGAAGATCCAATAATCAAAACACACTATCAGTACTGCGGAATGTGAAAGGGTTCTCAAATTGCTTGGAAATAAGTTCGTGTTCGTAACCGGAGACAATTACGACGCAAAGCACACCTTGTGCCGTTCTGACCTTATTACTTCTACAGGATGACAACGTTACGCACTTGATTGATTTCTGCATGGCTAAAGACATTGTACTCTCAGAAGTAGCGTCTAGCTCTTGCCTCGACTTGTCATCTGATTACTCTTCGTTTTATTCGTATTAAATAGCAATTTTTCTGCCAAACGCACGCGATTTACTCTACGGAAAACGGACTTGAATTCGTTCCGATCTGTGTTTTTTCCATACTCAACTCATTAAACGCAAGTGTTACATATATGTAACGATCGAATTACTCACACTAATGTTGTTGTTAAGAAAATTTGTATTACCTAACAAAGATCCTCAAGTATTTCACATATTCTGGAGGTCGTACAGACACTATATATAATAGGCGAAAGGATTTTTTTTCAGCACATAAGAATGGGGTAGATATGTAGATGTGTAAATTGGTTTTGGTTTTCTCGAAAAGAGTTGTCCCCTTTTGAACAATTAAATTAGGGGTTTACTTTTTTGAAAAGAGTTACCACATTTTAAACAATTATATTACAATTATTTAAAAAAATAAATCAATTATTACAAAAGATGTATCAATCGAAATCGTTTTGAAAAACTTGTTTCTCACCTTAACTTTAGAAGGATTGCCACGTATTAAAAAAAAAACCAAATTATTTTGAAGAGGGCTGCCACCTGTTTGAAATTTCTAATTCACTTAACTAATACAACAAGTAATTTTTAAGCCAAAAAGAAAACCGACTTCAACTCGCATATAAAAATGTAAGAATATATTTAATTTCTTCACGATACGATTATAATTATCTGATCTAAAAAAAATTTGTATTGGAACACCATTGAGGTACTACTACCTAGCCGATGAAAAAAAAAATTATTGAAACCGGTCAACATGGTCCAAAGTTATGCGGTAACATACATAACACAAAAAAATATATATTCCGACGAACTGATAACCTCCTCTTTTTTTTGAAGTCGGTTAAAAATTATATGAAATATAAAAATCCGGGAATCAAACGAAACAGTCTTTAGCTTTAGTCTATAAAGAGGGTTGCCACGTGTTAAAAAAATTGCATTCAAATTATTAAATAAGTTGGATTAATTAGCGTTGAAAAGGCTTTATTTCAGAAATATGTTTAAAAAATTAAATTCAACTTGAATTAAGACAGTTGGATAATTGAAATACATACATACATACATATATGTATCACAATATGGGTGTCAGACGAAAGAGTTTAAGGTTTTAGGAGGAAAATATTTTGAAGAGCGTTGCCATATGTTTCAAAAGTCGAACTTAGTTAACTAAGTGTAGTAAAAGTGTTAAGAAACTATTCGTTTGAACATTTATGATGATTTAGCCGATGAAAACTACCAACAAGCTAAATCTAAAAATGTATCGCTATACATTATTTTAAAAGTATATAAATCTCATTTTCTAAACATGTGTGATTTATAAAATGGGATTAAAAATGAAAGCTCTTAATAGATAAATGCATCAAGTGCGAAAATAATGTTTTTTTCTTAATAACATAAAAATGGAGAGTTCATTAACTATAAGAAACCTATTTTCATCCTGTACTCGACTCTGCCTACAACCTCGGGTCACCAGACCTAAAATGCCGAAAGGGGTACAGATAAGAACAAATTGCGGGACTTGGGGTACAACTGGGAAAGAAAAAGGGGTGTTTTTTAGGGGACAAATAAAACGAAATGCATTCAACAAAAAATTGATTTATTCGCTTATGGAACAATAACACCGTTCGAAAATAAAAATTCAATATCATTTGAGCAAAAGAAAATTACAAAAAAAATATATTTATGCACATACATATCTGTGTTCGTATGGAAAAGTCGCTTATGTCGAAAGGCTGGCTTTAGTATAATGCGGCATTCCCTTTATTCTTTAAACGACAATAAATTTTTTGCAGAGACTTAATAAGAATATTGACTTGCTAGTATCGGAACTATTTATTGCACGTTTATTTGCCAAAAGTTGTTCAACGGCTCAGCGCCAGTGAGCTATTCGCAATCCTATGCTGCGAATGCCGATTTATACTAAAGCCTGCCTTTCGACATAAGCTACTTTTCCATACGAACACAGATATATATAAGAATATTTTAAAATGAAAATTACACTCTCCGTTCAACTTTAATTCAACTAATCGCCTGTGAATATTTAACAACACAAACACGCGAAAAGTGAACGATTGCGGACAAAATGGGGGACCTACGCAATAGGGCTCGTAAAATTATCCGACTATTCGACTAATCGGTTAACCGA